GAGGTGTGTTCTGATCATAACATCCTAATCACAGGCAATAGGGTTAAGACAAATGTACCTTCAGAAGTTTCCGGAGTATTGGAGTCTTTTTAAAATCCCTTCGATACTGTTTCATGATATTATGTAGCATTTGCAGGCCTGGATTAAAATCAATGAACGTTCTTTAATGTTGGTGAGAACAAAAAAATTGGTTTTTTTTTACATAACAAAAGGAAGAAGACAACACATACGGGCACGAAACAAAGAAAGACATTATACCATTTTTGTTGATTACATCCATCAAAACAGCACGTGACTTTGTCTTCAAAAGGGCATCGAGAATCATTGAAAGATCTCGGTTGCTGCATCATGTTCATGAAGAGTCGAAGTTTCAGACACCAAGAGCACATAAGAGAAAAATGTACAAATGGGAAGTAAAGCTGAGGAAGTTGGAAATCTTGAAGACCTTTGGATTCCTTCATTGTTGGCATTGCCTCGGGAAGCTGCAGTGAGAAGAAGAAGTTTCAAGTACCCTTTTGTTGAATCCTGTCCCAAAAGAAAAAGGATCACCTTAGACATGTAAAATGCACTGCAACGTCAGATGGATAAAGTGGAAATATGAGAGAAAAAGAATCATGCTAAGGTTGTAAGTTTCAGTGAAACGAAAAGATAGGATGTTCCATTTGTAAGTATCTAAGTAGTAAGTACTGAATATGCTTGATGCTATATACCTTCCGCTTGCTAATCCCTCCTTCAGAATCCAGTAAATAGTTCAGTTTCCCCTCAACTGCACAATTGATGAATGTCGTCAGTATATCAACTTAATGCATGGCTTTTGAACAACTCACATCTAAAATTGCTACATACATGTTTCCATATGCCCGCTAGGGGAAGCTTCTTCTGATCCTTTAGATTTCACAAGCTGCTGATGCAACTTACTGGCCGTTATAATCTGCACCTTTGTTACACTGGGACGTTTACTTCCTTTATCTCGCTTGCTAGAACCAGAGGAATGAGAAGTTTTAAATAGAGGACGGGATCTTGGAACCATCGTCTTAT